CACTAAGTCTACGGTCTAGACAATGTTAGACTAAAATTAGGCATTGTACTAGTCTAGGAGTTTAACCCTAAAATACTTTCTTGTGTCGTAATGTTTTCCAATTTAAGTTTTCGTTCACTAAATTGTTTACGTTGAATATTTCTTAGTTGGATTTAAAACTAATGTGTTAGCGATTGTAAAATGTGCGGTTTGGAGAAGGGATTCCTATTAAATGAGTTCAGGAGTCGTCTAGCAAGAAAAGTTTTATTGACGAAAGAGGTTTCCATTTTTTCAATCCTTTTTTCTTCTTCTTCTGCCTTGGGTGAGGCCAGAGGGAGTGTCAGACTCTTACTGACTAGGTACTCCTCCTATGAACCGGAGCCTTAATCCACAAGATCGTCCGCTACCCCAGAAATTCTCATATGGGTAGTTATCTCTTCCCCATGTATTTTTAATATGCCCTATTTTTTTTATTTAGCACGCATTATTTTTCTGAATACAATGAGACTAATCTCTACTAGCGAAAGTTTGTTAAGATGTTCTTATGTACTCTGTCACGCAAAAACTGCTGAACTGAAGTGAATGACATTTGGTAAAGAAATAGATTATTATAGTTTGGAATAACACATTGGTTATTGTTCATTTCGCTATTGCAGGCAACATTTCTGGCAGAATTTAGTTTATAAAATAATTTCATACTTCAAAATTAGACATTTTAAAGTTCCAGTAAATATGTGGTATCTAACTAATAGTGCCTAAGTACTCTTTGCTTAGGACTTGATGTTTTGCATCCGGCCATTGGCTGTGCCCTAAGGGTCGTAGACTTGGGACTTTAGGAGTCAGTCACCGGAACAAACATTGTGGGTTCGATTCTCAACTCTTTAAAGTTGTAGGGGATAGTCCAATAGCCGCAGACGTATGGACCATGTTGTGGGCAATAGTTTATAGTTATAGCCTTGGGTAAAGCTAAGTTAAAAGTTGTAAACATACGGTGTTAAAGTGATCTTTAAATATATTCTACTAGGTGACCCAGCAAACTTCATTTTGCATAAAATTTTCTTTTAAACCTTCCGTGGACTCCCACGAACATTTCAAGACAAAAATTAGCGAAATCGGTTCAGCTATTCTCGAGTTTTAGTGACACTAACAAACGGAAATTCACTTTTATTGATAACTAGGCACTACAACCTATTGACAGTGCGATCAAAATATACTATATTTTTTAAATACTAGCTACTTCCGCGCGGTTTCACACGCTCTGTTCAGCTCCTATTGGTCGTAGCGTGATGTTTTATAGCATATAGCCATCCTCGATAAATGCGCTATCCAATACAAAAACAATTATTTAAATCAGACTTGTAGTTACGGAGATTAGCGCGTTCAAACAAACAAAAAAACAAACTCTTCCGCTTTATATAATAGTATAAGACCAGCGATCCGCCCCGGCTTCGCACGGGTGCAATATGCATGTATTATATAAACGTTTCTTAAGAATCACTCTATCTTTTAAAAACCCGCATCAAAATCCGTTGCGTAGTTTTAATTTAAGCATACATAGGGATAGGCAGACGGCGGATAGCGACGTTTTTATACTATGTAGTGATGAAGATAATCAAGCCATCTCATAACCTTAGAATACACCAGCAAACATTACAACAGAAATGATACAGAACAAGAATCATTAACATTTGCATATAATGTAACTGCATAGATACACAGCATTATTTTCTAGCAAACAGTTTGACTTATTACGTCACAAAACTTAAGTTCTGTTATCGCATATACAAACTTAAGTTCTGTTATTGTAAAGACATTAATCTTTGAAGCCATGTGTAGAAGAGAAATATTGAATACGCTGCGCAGCGCTTTACGACCCATTAAATAAATCGTCTACTCGTTTGCCTCACACAAAATCACTGTAGGTTATTACAAATTTAAAAATTATATAAATATTTTTG